TATGGCCTCTCTTCCTTCCTATTCCCTGTGTCTTACTCCCATATTGGGGACACCCTTTGGGCCTAAAAAAGGTCTCGGGGAATAAGGTTTTGGTGAATAATAATATTCATCATCCTCCCTCTGCTGTAATGGGGCATACCTATTATATGTGGGTATATCATTGTGCATATATTTCTTAAATCTAGGTCTCTGGTGTTTCGGGCCCTGGTAGTCAGCATTGTAATTAGACTGATGCCCATACTGGTAATGGTTCCTCTGCTGATAGTTAAATGACTCATTTTTATGAAGATAATATTGTGATCTACCTCCATTATAAAAATGCTCATTTCTATAATTATTATAGTATGATCCATTTCCATTATACAATGGTGGTTTAGGGGGTCCCTGATGTATATGTCTTTCACCTTTCTGTGCATTATACATAGAGCCATTTTGGGGTTCCCTTTTAGGTGTTTGATTGGAGCCCTTTATCCTCCTCTGATTGTTGTATGGGGGTTCTAAATAAAACATTTTTATTATGTGGGGTACCCACATCACGTCCTCTATCTGGGGAGATATTAGTAGAACCAAGCACATTTTCCAGAATAATTTTTTGCCACTTGAAGACCTGCTTGGTCTGATAATCCCCCATATCTCACTGATATTTCTTTTTCATTTTAATGTTATTATCCTGTTGATATTGAGTAAGAGGGAATACAGATGTATATTTATGAATTAGGATCCCTGATCCCTAATAGCCTGAATGCAGAATTTGATCTTAAGTGCTTTCTGAGCAATTATGTTATGCTACATCCATTGTATTAATTGATAGAGTACACCATCAAGGATTTTATATCTTGCCACACCAAGAGAGTAGTGTATGCATTGACATGTCCATGTGGGTATTTCTATGTGGGCAGTAAAAGAGAGAGTGAAGGAACATGTATACAACATTGGTAGAAGATAAAAGAAACACCACTTTTCCAACCATTTTAGATTAGTCCATCAAAGGGATTATAGTTTATTACAATTTTGGGGGATAGAAGCATATAAAGCACATTGGGGAGGCCATCATAAGATTAGGGAATTGAGTAAGAGGGAATTCATATGGATTTATGAATTGGGATCTCTGATCCCTAATGTCTTGAATGCAGAATTTGATCTGAAGTGTTTTCTCAGCAATTATGAATAGAATTATGTTATGCTACAACCACTGTATTAATTGATTGATATGATGCAGGGACAGTATGTAGATTCTATATATTATAGTTTATAGGTCCCTAGTACTATATAGGCATCCTTATTGATGTTGGATGTTAACATATAAGCATGGTATTATAATGATGTTTTACGCAAATTTGAGTATGTATTTGTGGAGTGTACTGGTATGGTTAATACATCTTGCCAGGATGGATTCATATTCACATTCATATATTCATCTGGAGGATGACAGGTTTTGAATATGGTGGTAGGTACATGGGGACCATAAGTTGTTGTCATAGATGCGCCATTATCTAATATCAAGCTACTTCATTATTATTCAATACTTTTTCTGTTACTGTGGAGCTGGATAAGTAGGGGTTTTGTAGTTTAATGACGCTAAGAATATCAGTGTTTTAGTTTCTTTCTAGATCAAGCTATGAGAGGGGAAAGATTGTGTATTAGTATTTACCTGTGGAGGTAATCGATAGGGCACGCTATAAATGAGTGTCCACGAGAGCGGCTATTTAATTTAAGATGTTTGGCTATGGGCTACTGGAAAATGTCCGTAAGCCAATTTGTGTACTCTCAATACAATGGCGGCTGCTGCGGCTAATTGATCAGATTCCATCACATGTAGGCTACAGGAAAATGGCTACGAGCCAATTCTTGTACCCTCCAATCATATCCCTCTGAGGAAGCCATGTGACCCATGCAACGCGTAGGAGAGGGGCTTGATGACATCACAACGCTGGTAACACACTGATATACTGTCACATTACATGAATTATAGATCATCCTGCATATTTGGTTGCATATTGCTCTGTTACATGCACTTAAATACTGGTGCGATGCAGCACCTTTGTAATGTGAGTGGCCACTTTTTCATTTTTAATAAAATTAAATTTTTTAAGGATAAAGCACTATTGTGTTTCCTATCTTCTCTATCATACATGTGGAGTGGAGGAGGAGAGATTAACAGAGTGGTGATCACTGGAGGAAGAATCCACTGCCAGGATATATTAAAACTGTTCATGTCCATCTCTTGGGACACAAGCATTTTTTGATCTACCATGATGTGAGGCCAAAAACTTCAGGTGAGGGCACATCTGGTGACTGTTTTTGGTGGAGGATAACTTTTGCATGAAGATATAAAGTTTTAAAATCTATCTGTATTGAAGATATCACTATTGACTTTTCAATTGATGCATGTCCACTTGGATTAATTTATGTTCACAATTGATTGTGTATTTATTTTGAGGTTAGATTCATTTTTGGGGGAAGTGATGCACTGTATGTATATATTTTGAAGAAAAATGTTTTCTACCTCAGTATCTGCCTTAAATAACATTGCTAGTTGCATATTGTACCTATTTTTAGCCTAAACACTGAAATTTGCACTTAAAACTAAATTTTTAACATTTGGAAATGCCAGTAAAAACTTGGCTGTGCCAGTAAAATTTGGGTGTCGTGTTAGTGAATTTCAATCTGGTAGGTTGGCAATACTGCTCCATAGGAAAACTTTGTAGCAGCACTCTAAAAAACATAATGCTTCAGGAGGTTATGATCGAGGTGATACAGATCTGTCTTGCCTCACTCAAAAGTACCGGATCACTTATACGAGGGGCGTTTAAGTCAAACTAGGACTTTTGAGTTTATATAATAAAAGAACAAATTTCAAGGAGTAGAAAACTGCATTTATTTTTCAACATACTCTTCTGCTACATTTATACACTTATCCCAGTGGTTAACTAATGCCTGGAAAGCTTCAGTATAAAAAGATTTTTCAGTACTTCTGAACCATCCTAGGACAGCCTGCTTCAGTTCATCATCAGTGCTGAAATGCTGACCTCTAAGGAACTCTTTTAGGGGTCCAAACAGGTGGAAATCACTTTGAACCAGGTGGTCCGGGCTGTAAGGGAGATGTGGCAATACCTTTTAGCCGAGTTGTTGTAATGTGCATATGTACAGTGAGCAGTATGAGCTTCTGTGTTTCCTTGAGAAACAGGACACCCTTAGTGATCAAACCAGGCCGTTTTTTCTGCACCTCACTTCTGTGCTGGTCAAAAGTGGAAAGCTGTCTTGGTACCCAACATGTGCTAACACTGACTACAGGTTTCTTTATTTTTATTTTTGTAAGTGTTTCTTAAAGCCAGATATTTGGAATGCTAAATGAAAATAGTTTTGAGGCGTGTCTGTGATTAGTTTTTTTTCTACACGATTAAAAAATTCAATAAACATTTTCCAAGAGTGGTGATTCCATACTTCTTGCCAGGGGTTGTAAATAGGCTGTGTACTTAGAAGTGCACTGAAAGTGCACTTGCTCTAGATCTGAGGAGAACTTGCAAGGAATATAAATAAAACAGCATTTTTGCTTGCACGTTTGGATGAAAGAAATCAGCAGAGCTTCCCCTAATTTCAGAGCTTCCCGTCGGATCTAAAGCAACTTCACTTGCAGTGCACAGCTTATTTACCTTTAGCAAATCAACCCCATTGTCTCAGGCTCAGTGATCAGAGAAGATAAAATGCCCCAGGGCTGGAGGGAGTGGGAGTAACAAATACCCCAGGGTTAGTAGTCAGTAGGGGTAAAAAACATAACCTAGCATTTGTGGCCAGTGGGAGGATGAATAATGCCCCATCATAGGCAACAGTGGAAAAAATTATGCCCCATCGTTCAAGTCTGTGGGAGGAATTGTGCCCCAGGTTGGTGTCAGTGGAAGAAATTTCACTCCATTATTAGTATCAGTGGAAATAATAGTGCCCCTTTGTTGGTATCAGTCAAAGAAATAGTGCCACTTCATTGGTGTCAGTGGAAGTAATTATGCACTTGTTTGTGTTAGTGGGAGGAATAGTGGCCCATCACTGGTGTCAGTAAAAGGAATAGTGCCCTTATAGTTGGTGTCAGTGGGAAAAAGAGTGTATCGTCATTGGTCAGTGGTAGGAATAGTGCTCTTACAGATGGTGTCAGTGGGCGGAATAGTGTCCCATAGATGGTATCAGTGAAAGGAATAGTGCCCTTAAAGTTAGTATCAGTGGGAGAAATAGTGTCCCATCATTAGTGTCAGTGGTAGGAATAGTGTTCTTACAGATGGTGTCAGTGGGCGGATTAGTGTCCCATAGATGGTATCAGTGAAAGGAATAGTGTCCTTATAGTTGGTATCAGTGGGAGAAATAGTGTCCCATCATTGGTGTCAGTGGTAGGAATAGTGTCCCATAGATGGCATCAGTGAGAGAAATAGTGCCCTTATAGTTGGTATCAGTGGGAGAAATAGTGTCCCATCATTGGTGTCAGTGGTAGGAATAGTGTCCCATAGATGGCATCAGTGAGATGAATAGTGCCCTTCTAGATGGTATCAGTGGGAGAAATAGTGTCCCATCATTGGTGTCAGTGATAGGAATAGTGTCCCATAGATGGTATTAGTGGGAGGAATAGTGTTCCATCTTTTGTGTCAGAGGGAGGAATAGTGCCCCTTCATGTCAGTGTCCAAGGGCCAGATAAAGGCAAGCAAAAGGCTACATCTGGCCCACAGGCCACAGTTGGGGGATCACCTCACTAGAAGCACAGCACAGTTGTTCTTTTAAGAACACCTCAACATAAACTGCTTAGTTATACTTTCTTGTTGCACCTGCAAACCCTTCTAGATAGAAGTCATGGTTTACACACACTGCACTAATGATGCCCAATAAGCCTGAAACAGCAATCTGCACCCCTGAACTCTACAGAAGACATGCAGCACTTTCTACATACTGGGCTGATCATTTTTTGATACATTTTTAATTTAGGATGGAAGTGATTCAATCAGGGGCGGACTGACAACTCATGGAGCCCCCGGGCAATAGGGGATCATGGGGCCCCTGTGTCCTTGCCCAAACTCAAAAAAGCCTATGAAAAATGTACCAGGGGCATCTCATGGGGCCCCCTACTGACCCTGGGCCCACGGGCAGTGCCCGAGTTTCCAAATGGTCAGTCCGCCCCTGGATGCAATATAAATACCTGCTGTTTATGTAGACTCTGCTATGTTACATTGTCCTAATAGTAAATAATGTTAAAGTGTTCCTTTAATACATAACATATAATATAACATAACATGGCAGCATTTTTATTAGGTCAGGCATTCCTCAAACACATTTGTATTGCTGCTACTTGTATCTCTGAAAATAAGCTGCAGGTTGTCAGATTAAAATGTGCATCAGCATTAAGTGTGGAAGACGCCTATGAAATTTTAATTTGACGGAACAGTATAGCTGTCAAATGTCGTTCACGATTCATATAGATGAATTGACAGGTTAATGTACTTTTTAACCCAGTTTTGACTGCAGCTTATATGGAAAGAGATCTGAGGATTATCCTTGGTTGATGAAAAGCTACAATGCTTATTGGTGAAGGCGTGTTGGTCCTGATTTATATTACTGGAGAGGATGGAGGACATTAATTAATGAAATATTACAAGAGTAAAAAGCCACAATTAATAAATAATAGCCAACTGCTCTAAACTGGTGAAAGGAGAACTCTGGTTGTATAGTACACTTTACTGAAACTTGCTAAATACAGCGGGGAGATACATACACAGGAATTGTCTTACATGGCAAACGATTTGTAATTCTGTTTAACTAGGTTCCCCAGCCACTCAGCACTGCCAGGTCCTGGACCTCCATTGCAATGGTAGCACAACCTAGTCTAAACCACACCCCACCCTAATGATTGGACAGTAAAGTGTCAGGAGGTCATCACTCGGCTCATTCTGCTCTCTTCTACTGTTAGTACATGTGCACTGCAGTGCAGTGTCCTATTGCTGACCCTCCCTCTTCCAGTTTGTGCAGCAGATTACACAAGGTTCATATTGTATCAATGCAAATTTAGACTTTTACACCAGTTGCACTTAAAGTGCAAAAAAGCCTAAAGCCCGCCATAGATGGATTGAATCTTGGTCAGGTCAGCAGGTACTGGATGAGATTTAATCCATCTATGGGCAGGCTGGTTTACTGAAGTCAATCCATCAATCGACTGCAGTAGAACCAGCATGTTTGATTATTTGCATGCGATTACTTCCGGCAGATATAGCCGCTAGCAGTTATCATTGTGTTTATTTTTTTATAATATAGTGATGTCAATTTACGCAGTGCTTTACATATATATTGTGCATTCACATCATTCCCCAACCCTCAAGGGGCGTACAATCTAAGGTCCCTAAATCACATATTAGGGACAATTTAGACAGGATCCAATTAACCTACCCACATGTCTTTGGAGTGTGTGAGGAAACTGGAGTACCTGCAGGAAACCCACGCAAGCACAGGGAGAACATGCAAACTCCAGGCAGGTGGTGTCGTGGTTAGGATTCGAACCAACAACCTTAGTACTGCCAGGCGGAAGTGCTAACCACTTAGCCACTGTGCTGCCACTGCCAGAATGTAAGGCTACCCACCGGCAGAACACAGTCGGTCCACAGGAGTCATTGCCCCATCAACACTTACTGTGTTGATGGGAGAATCAAGTGATTTTTTTTTCCTTCCACCAGTGGAAGGCTGTGGCTCTCCTGTGTCAGTGAGCAGCTGCTGCAGGAGAGAAACCCACACAAGCACAGGGAGAACATGCAAACTCCAAGCAGGTGTTGTGGAATGGTTGGGATTCGAACCAACAACCATAGTACTGCCAGGCAGAAGTGCTAAACACTTAATCACTGTGCTGCCACTGCCAGCATGGAAGGATACCCGCCGGTAGAACACAATAGGTCCACGGGAGCCATTGCCCCATCAACACTGACTGTGTTGATGGGAGAATCAAGTGATTTTCTTTCCTTCCACCAGTGGAAGGCTATGACTCTCCTGTGTCAGTGAGCGGCTGCTGCAGGAGAGAGGAGAGAGCACCGACAATTGCTGGTTCATTGGAACCTTATTACGAATAGTTAGACTTAGGCTTTTCTTCTACTTTTGCTGTTTTTTTTCCCTGCTTTGCACGAAGAAAAAAAACAGGCACATTGCCGCTCTCTGTTCAAAGCCCTGTGTTGTTAGTAAACACAGGGCTCTTTACTGTCATTCGCTAAGCCGATTAGCAGGTCCCAGCCATAAATCATTGGTTGGGACCTGCATTTCGACTTGTGCTGTAGTGAACAACAGCACAGATAGGACAGCGGGCACGTGCACCCCCATCCGAAAATGCCAGATCACTTACATGATCTGGCACTGAGAGGCTGACTTGCTACAGTTTTTTATATGTGTTTTTTTTTTTATAACTGGTTAAAAAAATAAACCAAAAATTTTATGTCAAGGGAAATGAAAGGAAGAGTACATCCAAAATTGTGAGTTGCCGCCAAAAAAGGAATAGAGGGAAATTTGCCAATGGGGAGACTTGCTCCCATGATATTTGGAATACATCCCCCCATTTCCTGCTGAGTCCATAGGACGAGGAGTAAAGGCAAATCTTTCTAATAAGATACAAATGGCAAAAAATGTTGTCAATCCTTCCCTCCTATATCCAAAATTTAAAAAAAAAGTTTTGGCTTTAGATATATTTTAGGTTTCATGTACACTGGGGCTCCTCTAAACGCTTTTCTCCTGGCAGGTGAAAAGCAGCTGAAAAAAAACACGCCTTGGTCACAGTTTTTGAAACACGCTTAGGCATGTTTAGGAGTCTTTGGGTGTTTATTAATTTCATTTGCCGGAATATTAATTTATTTTGGCCACTGAAATGGAAAAAAAATGCTTAAGCACTAAATACACCAAGCAATAAAGTGCATTTAGGTAAGTTCATCTGTGTTTACAGGCGTTAAGCATTTTTTTCTGCCTAAATGCTCATCTTTTGAACTCGCAACTGATGTTTTTTTTTTCCTGTCTCCAAACTACCTTTCCTCTAAATCCTGTAAATTATTATACAGTATTTATAAAGCGCCAATAGTTCGCTCAGCGCTGTACATTACAGAGGGGAACAGAACATGTGACAGATACAATGCAAAACATGAGGGGATCGAGGGCCCTGCTCTTTCGAGCTTAATGCTTACGTGTGCATGAATAAATAGGTTAACATGAAGGGGTTTAGAGGCAGAGGCTCCATTTTTGGGTTTGAGGCCTCACCCTAGGTTCACACCTAAGCATTTTCCGCAGCGTTTTGCAGAAACGTATTACAGTACATTTAACATGATTTCCTTTGTGACACATTCACATCTCTGTGTTTTCACTCTGCATTTTTTTAAAGGGTCAGGGAATTTTTTTAGCGCAAAAAGTTGCGTTTTTGGTTCTATAGACTTCAATGGAAATGCTGCAGATAAGCATGTAGCGTATTTTTGCTGCATTTTTATGTGTTTTTGCCCGTTATTTATACATTTTTGATGCATTTTGCATTTTAAATCTGCCTAGCAAGAAGAAAAAAAAAAAAAAAAAGCAAAACACATAAAAAAACACGTCAAAAACGTGGGTGCAAAAACGTAGGTGCAAAAATACAAAATGCAACGCAGAACACAATGCAGAAACGGCTCAAATGCAAACTGCATAGGTGTGAACCTAGCCTTAAGTATGTTGGCTCTAAACCCACTTTGTACACAGACAAACAGGCAGTAGATGGGGAGATGGATAACACATCTTCTGATTAGACAATCTGTACAGGCAATTATTTATTCCCCTACAGTCATTACAATAAATATGTAATATATCTATTGTTGTTCACTTGCAGCCATTGCATTCCATTAAAGATTAAGTTGAACTTTTACAAAAAATAATAAATGCACATTTTATTGCAGGTAAAAAAATGTGCATTGATTATTGTTTGTTTCTTGGAGCCTGGAAAGCATTGCACCAGTGATCAGCAAATTTCTGGTGCCATGCAGGTCTCCTGCAGACCTGTCAGTATACCTGCTTGCCTGTGTGGAATGTATGGGAATCAGATATACTGACAGGAAGAATTCATAAACTACCACAGCGCTCCACAGCTCCATGGTAGTTCACTGAGAACTACAAACTGACAGCCACAAAGGCTGGTGAGAATTGAATTTCATTAAGTCAGAGAACACAGCTAGATTGGCTGTGTGTGGAATCATCACCAGAGGCTGCATCGCACAAGAATCACCTGCATGTTTTTATACTTTTGTGGACATTGGTGTCACGCATTGCTTGATTGGATTTGCGTTTTTCAGAGGATTTACATGTTCAGTTTTTCATCAACAATTATTCATTTGTGCATTATTAGTTTGATCTTATTCCCATAGGAGATTCATAGGTTTATTTTTTACATTGTCACTTATATGTATATTCTTTTTTTATATATTGTTTGAGTGTTTTTTAACACTGAGCACTTTTTTGTCAGCATTTTGCAGTTACCCATCCCCCAGTACTGGGATCACATGTGTGTTTCACTTTCTATCAATATATTGTATTGAGTTTATTCACTTTTTACTGGTTTATCCAGTATTGGAACACTTTAAGTTGGTTGTTTATTCACCATTTGTCACATTGGTATATCCCATTGGGGATTTATTCACTGTTTTAGTATTTTAGAGAGCGCTACACCTATTTTTGTATATTTTTTGTTTTTTTTCACTTTTAGGTAATAAGGTACAGGTGTTAGCAGCCTATACTAGTTTAATTAGGTTCTGAGCGCAGGAGGTCCTCTTTATTATATATTGGACAGTCTGAGATGCAACCTGGTGGCATCGGATGGACCAAAACATGATGTCCCAGAGGTGTTCTATTGGATCTAGGTCAGGCGTGCGTGGGGGCCATTCAATGGTATCAATTCCTTCATCTTTCAGGAACTGCCTGCATACTCTCATCACATGAGGCCGGGCATTGTCGTGTACCAGGGAGCACCAGGGACCCACTGTAACAGCACAGGGATTGACAATGGGTCCAAGGATTTCATCCCGATACCCAATGGCAGTCAGGGTGCCATTGTCTAGCCTGTAGAGGTCTGTGCAT